ATTTTTTATTCACGTTGAATATCTTATAACTATCTTAATCAAACTTTTGTGTATTATGTATATTCAAACTTCCTCTCTCTCTCTCTCTCTCTCTTTCTCTCTCTGTAATGACTTGAGATATTTTTGGAGATGATCAACGAAAAAGATCTCAGCTTTTCTTAATGAAAAAAAGAAAAATTTCTCTTGAAAAACCAAATAATAAGCGAAAGAATAAACATGACATTGAGATATTTTTAGCAACTTTTTTTTTAATTGACGAAACATGATGTTTTTTCTTGCGTATGCTTGCAACTAGTACCCACTGTATGCATAGATATATACATGCTTACATATTTGCATTCGTTTATTACGTCATTTTAAAACAGGTTGTAAGCCATTGTTGCCATTTATGTTGAAACTGTTCTTTATGCCTGTGTTTAGTTTCAAATAAAATCTAGAATGCATTCGATCGCAAAGTTTGTCCGGAGATATTGTCCGATATATAAATATTATTGCTATTATAATCAATTTAGTTAGAGAAATAAATTCCAGGGCTGAAGTCTACAGCCGCTCACTTCTTAAATCATCGGCTTTCATTGTTTAATATAAAAAGCAATTAAAATAGGGTTTCTATTAGTTTTATATATAAATAAACGGTGAAATTCTGTTAAATGTCATTCGTACTTACGTCAAACATATAGAGTACACGCACTTAAACAGATTAACATTTGTATTGATATTTTATCAAGTAAAAAAATTGTATTTGCTCCTGACCGAATCTGTTATACCCATCACCCGTTATTCTCAAAAAAAGTCAGAAAAAGTAAAGGAGATGAATTTTCATGCTCAATAATATGGAGTGGACGCAGCTGTTTTTTTCTATTTTCAAAATAAAGGTTCTTGTCGCATAGTCGTGTGGGCGTTGTAGGCGTGTTCTTTGAAAACTTTAAGTCACTATCAAATTCTTTGACAAATATGTACGCGGCCTCCTTATTCTTGTGGACTGTAGAATGTTTACCACACGATTGGCTAGACAGACATATAAACAGACTAAGAGACAGACATATTAAGGTGCATTCCAAATTTGGAATTGGCCAAAGCTTATATACCTAAAAACAAAAATTAAATTTTGATACACGGTTATATTGGGCGAGGTCAATTTTTTCCATTTTTGTACAAGCCGGTCAGCATCGCCCATAGAATATGCCTTCAAATGTTCGTATATTTATCTGGTACAGTTTATGATTAGTGAGAGAACCACCAATTTTGTATTTCTTTTGAAAAACAGAGGTGTTCTCAGTATGCGTGGTATTGTGGGCATGCCTTTCTACCGATTTGTCTCATTTTCAAAACCAACTTGCCAGCAACAACTACCAATGCTTCTACCAAATTTATAGTCGATGGGCTCATTTTTGCCGGGAGGAGATTGTTTACAACGGACAGACGGACAGACAGACTGGATTAAATCGATTTAGAATTTTATGCTGATAAAGAATGTATATACTTTGTGGGGTCGCTGATGCTTCCTTCTGGGCGTTGCAAATGTTTTTACAAAATGAATATACCCCTCATTTTGCACTGATGTCTAGAAAAAAGTAATTATTCACTAATCGTGACTTATATTAAATTTCATTACAATTTAAATGTGGAACGAAAAAATGTGAATAAGTTACAAGGTTACTGAGAAATATTTGCCAAATAAAAGCGAGATATTCCATCGGAAGTATCTATTGAAAGCGGTTTACAATTCTGTGTTGAGGTCGCTATTATTTCCTTAACCGTTTTTCTCCTCGCACTTTACAACAATAGAGATCGATCATAAACTCGTATTATGACTAAATAAGTGTATCGAGACATGGGAACTGGCGAGTATAAAAAAGGTTAATTGTTTAGCTGCAGCAAGAATTCTTAAGTAGGATTTTGAAAAGAGTTTCAGACGATGGTAAGCAGAAGCAAAAGGCCTATAAATGGAATACAAGGAATGCCATATGGCCCGCTTCATTGAAGACTCATCAAAGATGATTAGCTGAGAGCTGGAACATCAATGTCAGAAGGTGCCGTTCAACGCTGTTTTACTAAAGAAAACTTTCAAAATCGTTGATAACTCTATTATTCTGGCCGACAAATGATTATCGACGTCGGTGATCTCAAAACTCTGCTCGACTTAGAGTAGAGTCATTTACTACATACATCAAGAACAGTTTGAATAAGGTTCAACTAACGATTGTGAGACAATTAAGGAAGCTTGTTAAATGTTTTATATTTAAAATTTATTCGATATTCGCTGTGGGTTTACATTCAAAGGTAGAAAATTAACAAAAAAAGTCATGATTCATTTCTGAAATAAATGAGATAAACTCTTTAAAATGCATACGTGTCTGCTATTTTTTTTTTTTTTTTTGCTCATTTCATGGTATTATAATAGATTTTCGAAGCCAAGTCCATTGCTCTTCTGTTTGATTATTTTTACATTTCTCGCTAGAATATTGGCGGTGTACTAATTTTGTTACGTTGTTTGTCGTAAAGTACTTGTATTGACGGAATGTGTTCGAGGCAATGTACTCGTGACCTTTTATTCGGTCAGATGAATAATTGAAACAAGTGCAAAGGTTATAGTGTACCACGAGCCACCATTAAATACCCCATACTACGAAGACTTTTGAAAATGCGTTGCTGCATGAGAAGTGAGGGAAAAGTGCAGATTCGAAACATTTTCAATGGCGTTTTTTCTTGGGCTAAAATCCTTAGATGTAGCAAATTTCACCGAAATGTCACAAAAATTGCAAGGTTGAACAGAAGACTACAACAAGGACATATCAACCGACAAGCTTAGATCGATTCAGAAAGTAATTCTAAATTAGTTACTACAAAAAAAGGTGGGTCTATCTCAACTTCTTCTGTACAAGTTCAATATAAAGGCTTGTAAAGGCTGTTTGTGGAAATCCTCACTGTCGGTCTGAATATCGAATTTGTTACTTTTAGGGCCGCATTTAAATGTCACTTGCAGAGCATCGGAGGCTGTAGAGACGGACGCACGTGTAGTTTCTGTTTGGGAGTTATGGGGGGAGGAGGGGAGTTCAAATTTCAGTCCCACGAGCAGTCCACAGACGATTCTATCTAAAAGAAATACGCGCGCTCTACTCTTAAAGGGACAAACGGACGGACAAAACCTACTCACCAAACGGGCAGATCATAAGCGCCGAGCCTTTCTACATTCTACCCTATCTATGGCCTGCTTATCGATATAAAAACTATTAATTGAACGTGTTCATCAATCAGTAGTGTACAGAGTCACAGCGATGCCCCTATGTTAAGGGACTGCCCTTTACTCGTTTAAGTTAATGAACAATCGCTTTAAAGTAACAACAACAATAGTTTTTCCCAATTATTTCATTTATCATTTGTTGTTTTTTATTTCTTAATCTTGACCGCCGTCGTTCAGAAATGCAATGAACTGAAATTTCCGCAAGCTGAAGCAATTGAGTTTCCACAATTGATGATCACCAGCATTCATATCTACCTAACGCATTAACAAAAGTATCCATGTGTCTATATGGGTATATATATGCCTTTAATTAATATCAAGTTTTTTTTTTTGTTAATAAATTGTATTTTTTACCAAACCCATCGTAGTCAGTCATTAAGCGATTTCATTGAAGATTTTAAAATTGTTTATATATTGCAGCTTTTTATTCGAGTAAATCGATATAGAGACATATTTTACTTATGAGATTTCTCTACAATGAAATAAGTAAATATTCTAGACCTTGTCGGTAGCTAAAGTGAATGCTGCTTTTTATACTCTACACTACTTGTAGTACAGGGTGTATTAAGTTTATGCGAACGTATGTAAGGCCCAGAAGGACTTGAGATACACCGCGTGATTTTTCTACCAATCGGTTCAGAATCGTTTGTCTGTCCTCTTGTTATGTTCACCCTCGCAATTTTTCAGAAATTTTGATGAAAATTATCCCAACGGCGTGTTTTGCGCCAAGGACGAACGCTACTGAAAATGGTTGGGAATGGAGCACTTTTTCGACCATTCTCCATTTTCATAAGTCATTACATGGGGAGAATAGTGTAATTTTACAAATTGGGTGATAAAAATCGCTTAGCAATGTTATTTCAGCATTCAAAATCGGTGTGAAGACTTTGCATGGGATGAGATAAATTTTTGCAATCTTCCCTATGAAAATTGAGTCCTTATGGGATAAGAAGACCTAATTTTCACTGTAACATAATAACATAATAATCTGCCATAAAAATTAATCTTACCGAATTTGGACCAGGTAGGCCTGTTTTTGGATCCCAATTCATATAATGGTCCTAACGAAAAATAGGCCTTCATATGCCCAAGGGATTCAATTTTTTAATATTTTGGAATGAAAATTTGTCCTTTGTAAATTAACCATAGGGAATTTGGATCACATAGGCCTAGTTTTTAGTTCGCATTATATATAAGAAGTAAGCGGCAAGTTGTCGTTTTTGTGAGAGAAGCATCTCGGAAGTAATAAAATCTTTGACAAGCAAATTAAATTTGCAAAATTTGGACCACGTTGAGGACTTTCATGAAAATTGTGTATTTACATTAAAGTAATATTGAATATTTTATCTGTTATTAAGAAAATAAGTGAATGACTGCATTGGACGAAATGATCTAAGGTATCTAGTCGTCGGCCTTATCTGACTATAGCATTCTTACTTGTTTTTCTTTCTTTACGTTTATACTAAAGCTCTTAAAGTGTGGGTTTCGTTTTTGTGCTCAATGAATACAATTCTTTAAAATCAATGAAGTAATCACTGCGAAATTTTCTTACAAAAAAAAAAAAACATTTATGGATATTAAAGTATACGTTGTATTTATAAGTGTTTTTAAAAGTTCAATTGAATAACTTTTTGTTGTTATTCATAAAAAAATTATATTCCAGATCTCTTATAAAAGCATTATATATATACAACATTTATTTACCATACATAATTTATCCGAATTTTTTCATCAAGTTTAATTAAATATACTTGGAAAAAAAAAATATTATTTCTTTGCTTAAATTCGTAAGAAAAGTCACGTAAGCTTCAAAAGAAACCAAGTAAAAATACGGTAGGGAAACATTCTAGGGTCTCCCATCATATATCTTACACCACTTTGCTTAATGCAGCTGTTCATATAACGGCTTTTCAAACAAAAATGTTAGATGAGGAATGATCGAAAATATGATCCGATCCGAACCGTTTCCAAAGGTGTTCATCCTTGATCCAAAGCATATCGATGCACCAAATTTGATCAATATATCGCAAAAATTGCGATCTGTGCGTTGAAACCAAAAAACTAGGTCGGACAGACAAGTTAAAATCAATTCAATAAATGATTTTGATTCGATCATTAGTATAAAGGGACGATTTATCTTAAGTACTTCTGGTTGTTGTTTACACATCCGCAGAAAATTAATATAAAGTTATACCACAGGTGGTGTAGGGTGTAAGTATTTTATAAAAGTTTCAAAAAAAATTATTTTATAAAAGTTATGCAAATTTGTACACTTAACATTGAAGCTACGTTCCTTCTTCCCAGTAACACTTTAAATTAGAATAAAAAGTTTCACTACTCAGCATTGAGGTTATGCTTCAATCCGGCGTTGAGAAAGCAATGCAAATTTGATTACCTAATATTGAAAGTACGTCCGTTTTTACTAGTACCACCATAAGCTGCCTTTTTGCGTAAAGAGAATAAAAAGTTTCACTACTCAACATTGAGGTTACGTATAAATTCTGTCTTGAGAAAGTTAGATGTGATTCTCCAAACTTCTTCAAAATTGTTTTCGATACATACTTTTCCTTACAGCATTCTATTCATGCACAACTCATATCAACGTTGAGGTTACGTACGATCTATGTGATGGTTATACCTAACTATTGTAAGGGAGTACCACAACAGAAATTAAAATTTATGCAAAAAATTGATCCAAATGACATCATGTTTAGTATTTTAAAGGCTTATAACTAACGACAGAGTGAAGCGCCTCTACTCTATCCGTTTTGTCTTTCCGTACGCAATATGTAATTGAGCCTTGCATGAGTTTTACCGTAAAATGAGGTGAAGCTCGGTAAGTTTTCTCATTTGGAAAAATTTCTTTTTCTTCTGCGGCATTCCCATCCCCTTCCGTATCAAAATTCAGTGGTTTACACTCCCGGGCAACGAGGTGCCTTTGTTTGGAGAGTATTCGAGGGTATCGGGGATTGTCTGCGTGCAGACTTCCTCACCAAGGTAGTCAGCTACTCAAGAGGTCCCGTACACAACCATTAGGTTGTCGAAAAGCTAATGATAGTGTAGTGTGATGGATGGATTAGTTCTCCTTGTACGATAAATCCAGAGGGGTTGGCTTCCCTGGTAGTATGCGAATCCAAAATGCAAGTGTGAAATTACGGACAAAATGATACGCGCATGCCAATAATTCTAAAGCATACTATGAACTAAGGAATCCACGAGGGTCAGATTGCCTACAAAGTCACGCGGCGACAAAGCCCTGGTTAGGCGGGTAGAGAGGACAACATTGGTTGAACTGCAGAGCAGTGCTTGCTAAGACCTTCGCTTGCATATTGATATTCTATGTGGAAACTTCGCTGGAAAGTGGTATGTCCGATCACATTTTCAAAGCACCAGGTTAATCAATGTGCGAGCGCTTGGGTAGTTCTCGTAGTGGCTATGGTTATCGCCAATTGCGGGGGCATTAAATAATTAAACGTGCTTGATAGGCCTCGCCCTGTGCAGAGAGGAAGTTTTGGGCCACATCTAAACTTTTATTCTGGTGTCTAGTGCTTGGAATAGGCCTTCTCTTGCAGGAGTGTCTTGCAAGGATGAGGGGTGGCCAATTCAACTATATTAATTGTCAACGATTCGTCAAGGGAAGTCGTCTGATTAAGGCTCCACGCCAGTTACACAAGTTAAACATCGATATAATACAATAGCGCAGTCGCTTGCAATGTCAAACAGGCAATTTAAATTTATATGCACCTAAATTTATATGAAAGCTGAGACGAAACAACGCACTAACTACACTTAATCAGTAGAGGCGGGATAACAATAAAAATAGAAAAAGGCTGATCTTAACTTACGTGCAGGACCAAAACAAATCGGACGACTTTAGTTCTTGCAAGTAAAAAAAGATATTTTAGTTTTCTTTGAAGCAAAAAGATAATATTAAATATATAAATATTTTTCTAATCTTAATATTAATTCATTTTCGTTTTTTTTTCATCTTCCAGCTGTGCCCAGCGTTAGTACGGTAAATTAAGAAGATGGCGAATCCTCCCTTAAAATCATGTTGTTTTTGTCAATCCCTGCGTAATGGATCAATTATATCGGGTCTACTGGCTATAGTATTGTCAATTATTACAATTGTCATTATTTTTACGACGAGAGTTACATTCAAAACGATCATATTCGATTGGGTGCCGCCAAATATTGTTAAGATTATATTGGTTATTAACTTATGTATGACAATATTAATATCAACTTTAATGATAATCGGTGTTATAAAGGTGACTTGATCTGTTTTCTTTTTACTGTTTTGTAAAGTCTTCTCATATCCACTATCAAATGATTAATGTATCGGCAATTTATTATTTCATTTGTGCAACCAAAATATTTATAACAAATATGTCCGTCTTTTTTTACACGGTAGATACTATGCGAAAAATTGTGTGCAAAATGCATGCGACATGTGAGATTCAGATTGTAGATATGTCCCACACGTCTAAAAGATCGTGTAAATGGAAAAAAATCCAAATGTATTCCCAAAAAGCCGCCCAAAAAGAAACGTTTTAGAAGATAAATGCGACATGTAGTAAATTTAAGGACACGTTCCACAAATTTAAAGCATCGTCACTCAAGAACGAAATCTATTGGAAATGGTTCGATTTGGTCCACTTTTTTGGCCGTACCCCCTTTAAAACGCTTTATTGTGAAGAAAAAAATGTCTATTTTCAAAAATTTCCCAGCAAAAGTTGCTCAATAATAGTTTATCAATCTTCTAAATTGTTCTGAAAATTTTGATTCGGTTGGGGTATCTTTTAGAACCTTCTCTCCTATTTGATAAAAGAGTAGAATTTTCAAAGTAAGTGCTTTAGGGTATCCGATGATCGGCCTTGGCCGACTATGAGTTTCTTACTGGCCTTTAGAAGAATATTTTATTCTTATTCTCAACGCGGCCTTTAAAAATGTAAATCTGAACGTTGATTGTCAAACTGAGAGCGGCATTCCGAATTTTTAATCGTTTTATTTTCTGCTCCATTTTGTGAGGTTAACTCCGATCGATCATCATTTCCGTGTAAAATGCCAATAGATTAGCAAAAGTAATTTTAAACTATTGTCCTTTCAAATACGCTCCCTGTAAAAAAAGTGAATTTCGAGATCTATAGAAAGTTGATATAATACAAACCCTAAAGAGACTTCAAGCTCTATTCGTTTCTTTTAAAAGTGCTCCTATTTAGCTGACTAGTTAGGTTAAGATTTTTAATAAAAATTTAAGTTTACCATTTTTTTGTTTTTTTAGTATTCCTAAATAAATCCCATTTCGCAAGTCTAAGAAGATCAATAATTTACTTCCAAGTAAAAAATAAAAAATAAAAAAAAATAAGTCAAACAATATGGTGTATATGAAAACACTCGGTTTAGATGAATAAGATTTCTCTTTTATTCGCTTTTCATTTATTTATTTATTTTTTTTATTTATTTAGCGCAATCATTATCTAATGATGCCTTGGGTGGTATTGGGTATTATGATTGCTATCGGTCTATTGGTTTCTGTTATTTACACTGCCGTTGTCTTTTTCATTGATGGCTTCGTATTAACGGGTGTATTATGGCTGGTGTTCGGTTTGATTGCTTGCGGTAAGATTTCCATTATAATTATTCTTATTATTATTATTATTATTATTTTTATTATTATTTTATAATAAATTTTGCTAAGGTAACTTAAAACGGTTGAAATTCATAATTTATCTTCTCAGTTATTCGTTTCATATATTTGACATGTAGGTTAAGTGGTTTTAGTTAACAAAGAAGTAATCGTCTTAGATTACCAACAGTGTGGAGAAACTTTTCATTTCTAAAACACTTAAACGCATAATTTAAGTCGTATTTTATTTCATATAGTGTAGTGCGGTTAAAGAAATTGCAGTTTTAGCCATATTTGTGACAAATTTTCTAGTTGGACGACTTTGTCGTAAATACGCAATCAGTGATATATATATATATATATATATATAAAGTAAATATATATATATTTTTCCTTTTTTTTTTTAATATCAAGGGCGGTATAATATAATTTTATCATTTCATGTATTACGTTTTATATCCAGAAGTAAGTTTCACAAAAAAAAAAGAAAGCGTTTACTCACCTCTCCATGTCCACAGAAAATACAGTTATTTTTATTTATTTGCACTAAATCTGACTGAGCGGATCTCTCCTATTCGTGCAACAGGTTGGCCGCCGGAAAGAAAATAGAAAAGTGAAAGAAATGGCGAAGGTGGTGGATGTGACCGTAATCGGTACGTTTTACTCCTTTACCGACTGAGCACGCACTGCTGCCAAAGAAAAGCCTACCGTGCTTAAGATTTGAAATTTAGAAAACCATGTAAAAGCAGGTAAAAACACCACCCTATGCCACTTCACTGAATAAACTTATTCGTATAACGACTTTTCAAAGTAAAACCCTATACGGGAAGTCATCGAACAATTAATGTGACCAGAACCAACTTCAACGGCTTTTGTCATTGGGTTGAGAAAAAATTGTTTGTGGATTTACTGCGATATTGAGAGCAGAAAGAATTTCATTATGTTTTCTACCACTCGTTGCGGGTTCAAAATGTTATTACAAAATCGCATACAATTCCCGATTCTCTAGCGATCTCCTGTTGTGAAAAAGTCTCTTCAGTGACAGACTTTTAATCATATCACTGACATCTTCTTAATCTTCTGTGCAGTCATCAGGCACTTTAATATATTTAATGTACTTTTGTGTTTAACCAATTGTTTCTAATTTTAGAGGTATTTTGACATGACATTTTTTGCCCCGAATATGTGAAAGGGTATGGAATTCTTTTAATATACAAAAAGTTTTCAAATTTTTCACGAACTTTGAAGAAAAAAACAAATAAACATACACCTAAAGCGCCCTATAGTTTTTCTTAGAAAGACTTTGCAAAACAAGCTCTTATATAGTCCGATGCGAACTACTTTCGGTACCCTTCGTCCTCAAAATATCTTACAAATTTTATGGCTTGTAGGTGGAGTACAACAGATGGACGGGCAAGCTTATGAGGTCCGATGCGAACAACTTTCGGTAGCCTTCTTCCTGAAAATATCTTAAAAATTTGCGTCGTGTAGGTTGAATACAACAATATGAAACGGGCAGACAGATAGACAAGTTTAGAACAACGCAAAAAGTGATACTGAGTGTGGATCGGTATAATAAAAGCTATCTCAAACCCTTCTGGGTGTTTCGGACAAACCTATATAAATTTCTTTTTTCGTTTTCTTATCATTGTTAAATCTAAAGTTTCGAAAAAAAAAAATAAAAATTTTTTTTAGGTTATGATTGTAAAACATTTGTTTAGCAATTAGTGTCAACGAGATAAAGACAATGCCATCGTTCGACTTTTAGGGATTACTTTATGAACAAAGAGAATCGTAGAATTTGGAAATTATGCATCTACAAGTGTCATTCTTTACCCTAAATGCGTTTTGTAATTTTTTTCTTTTTTTTTGTATAAATTTCAGCGATTTTAACCTATTGCTGGTGTGTGGTCTACAGTGAATTCACAATACTCTCGGAGGAAAATGAAAGGGGACGTTACAACAAGCAGCCATATAGACGTTAAACCGAATAAGAAAAAAATAAGTGACGTACTTTTTATAGAAATAATTTATTTAAATTTTTTTTTTTTTAATGAAAATAATTTTAAGTTAATTGCACAGAGATATTTCTTCTAACTAAAAGAATCGAATTGAATTTAATTTTGCAAATGAATGTTAGTTTAATAAGTAACAGTTTTAATATACGTAAGCAATTGCCTTTTTCCTTCTTTTTTTTTTTACTAAGAAAATATTTGATTTAATTTTTTTTTTGTCAATTAAATAAACTTTTTGTGTTAATAAAAAAAAGGAAAAAAAAAAAAACGAAAACTGTTTTATCAAACATCGAAAATTGTTTTTCTTAGTGGTAGATATTTTTATTGTGTGTATTAAAAGAAAAAAAAAAAAAAAAAAGTTTTGAGTGTTTTTTTTACAACTTTCAATCTTCGTTTAGAGAAAATGATACAACGTACTTAGTTCAAAGTATTATCCATCGTAGACTATACGACCTTTCCCCTTCTTTCAGGCAATAGTCGAATTTCTTCTTGAAAGAAGTCTTGCCTCTTTCCAAGGAATCAATATTTTGGAAGTATTGTTTGAACAAGCAATGATTTATCTATTGGAAACTGTATTAGTCGGTAGGTAACAAGGTAGGCCTGCTGGTAACAACGTGGAAGATGGGATATTTTAGCTGAGCGACTTTTGTTTGCATTGGATATTGTATTATTTATTGCGGATGAGTTATGACTATCCGCCTTATTTTGAGCGGCGTTCTAATTGCTCCATTTTGTAAAGCCGCGGCTTTTTTCACACCTCCCTTTATGATTTTCATAAACTAACAAGCCTGTTTAATCTTACTTTTAGCATCTTATTGCTATATATTGAGCTATATATATTTTGAGAATGTGATATCTTAATTAATCGAGTTGGAAGTGTTACTTTATTATTAAAAATTACTTGAATATTAAATTGTGGAAGATGAAATTATATTTTTTATATCGATATGATAAAAAATGATTTTATTGTAATATTAATTGCAAGCAGCAATAACTAAAAGAGTTCAAATTCATTTTTCTTCATGACTTTTTTTGGTACAGAACTTTATTTATTAATTCAAATTTCGATTAGTTTTATTAATTTAATGCGCGAAAATGCATGACATGCGTATCTTAAAGTAAAATGTTTTGTATAAATCAATGTTTTATTAATTATAATTATAATATACATATGCCACTTTTCACGATAAGTAAATTTAAAGGAAATCAATGTATAAATAACAAATAAAATTCGCGACTTTTTCCATTTCTAAAGGTATATGATCCTGAACAAACTTTTCCATGTTGACTATAAGAGTATAAGTACAAAGTATAAGCAGCTCTGAACAACGATAACAAAGATAATTTTAATGTAGCTACTCAAGATCATGAAACAATTCTATTACTTAAAAAAATTCCATCTAATAAATTTAAAGAAAGAGGGACTGCTATATTAGAAGAGCATAATAAAAATCACCATAAACCCATTGAATATTTCTTTATTAATAAATAAATTTCGTGTCCCCATCCGTTCATAAGAAATGTAGCCCATGAGCAAGTATTAAATTATAAGATCCAAAAATCCCTATACAAGTAATTGCCATTAAACCAGATAATACAATTCGTATTTGAGCTATAGAAGAATGTGCAATTAATGCTTTTACATCAACTTGACGTAAACAAATTGAAATAACTTTATTGTAAAAAATAATTCATATTCAAT